CAATACAACTTTAATTTAGAAGGATGTCCTGTTACCTTATCGACTACAGTAAAATACCTGGGTGTTATACTAGACCGCAACTTGTCTTTCGAAAATCATATTTCGTATGTTACAAGAACAGCTTTTTTCCACCTTAGAAACATTGCTAAATTACGTAACATGCTATCTGTTTCTGATGCAGAAAAGTTAGTTCATGCATTCATGACCTCGAGACTAGATTACTGTAATGCTTTATTAGCTGGTTGTCCTGCATCCTCAATAAACAAGCCACAGTTAGTCCAAAAATGCAGCCGCTAGAGTTCTTACTAGGTCGAGAAAATATGATCATATAACACCGATTTTATCATCTCTGCACTGGTTACCTATTAAGTTCCGTATCAATTACAAAGTACTACTACTGACCTATAAAGCCCTAAATGGTTTAGCTCCTGTGTATTTAATGGACCTTCTATCGCCCTACAATCCATCGCGTTCTTTAAGATCCCGAAATTCGAGGCTTCTGGTCATTCCTAGGATATCTAAGTCCACTAAAGGAGGGAGGGCGTTCTCACATTTAGCTCCTAAACTCTGGAATAGCCTTCCTGATACTGTTCGTGGCTCAGACTCGCTCTCCCAGTTCAAAACTAGATTAAAGACGCATCTCTTCAGCCAAGCATTCACATAATGCTTACCTTTTATACCACTGTTGAATCAGATCGACTGCATTAATATTATGAACAGCAGCTACGCTAATTATCTCCCATCTGTTTTTCTGCTGTTATCTCGGGACGCTAGTCCCGAGGTAAATAGCGTTCGTCAGCTCCAGTTTGTATCCAGCCTCTCACGGAGACTTCAGATGCCCCAACACCTGCGATGAGACGACTCGACGCCTGTGAAGAGACGACTCAACGCCGGCGATATGTTATGCCCTAAATTAATACATGATGATTAACTAACTATATTCTTCTATGTACATTTCTGAAATGCACTTTCTGTAAAGCTGCTTTGAAACAATATGTATTGTGAAAAGCGCTATACAAATAAATTTGAATTGAATTGAATTGAATTAAAGCCAAAAATGTTGTTCTTTCCAATGACGAAAAACAATATAGAAAACTGTTAGTTTTGTCGTTTATGTTTCTCTTAATGTTATCAGGGTTTGGTGGCAAAAAATGCCAGCAGAATTAATATGCACCCAAAATTCAAAATGTGGTGGAAAAATGGCCCTAGTATGGCCCTGGCCAACTCCTCCTTTAACTCGTGGCTGGAGCAAAACTTTTGCATGGGTCTTTGGGCAGCAGTAAAGGACTAGGTCTCCCCGTCGGGGAATAGAACCCCGGTCTTCCGCGTGACAGGCGGAGATACTGTCCACTATACTAACGAGGAGTTGCAGAGACAGGTAGTCGCCCCCGATCAGCGCCCCCCGACCAGGAACGGCCTCATGCGTCATTTTAGGTCATCGCTTCACAGAAGCCAGTGAAGCCAAACGAATATTCTAATACCATTTAAATATGAAGTGTCTGTGTAAAACGGGTTACGTTATTAAAGTAGAGAGCTTGCTTTTTTAATAAAGAGCCTGGTAGGTCCGGTCAAAAAGTTCATGCGTTTTTTTCCAGTGCCGGGCCCAAACAAAGAGAGTTTCGGTTCCTGCCAGCTACTAATGTGTTGCCAGCATTCTTGCTGACCGCACAACCCGGCATCCAGTCTATGCCCAACCGCCTGCGTTGGTGGTATAGTGGTGAGCATAGCTGCCTTCCAAGCAGTTGACCCGGGTTCGATTCCCGGCCAACGCATCGCCTTTTGCTCAAGCTGTCGTTAAAACAGTCGTCCGGGGCCCCTGGCCAACTCCTCATTTAACTCGTGGCTGGAGCAAAAATTTTGCATGGGTCTTTGGGCAGCAGTAAAGGCAGAGATGGGGGACTCGAGTCACATGACTTGACTCGAGTCAGACTCGAGTCGCAAATTTAAGGACTTGAGACTTGCTTGACTAAATTAAAAAAATGACTCGACTTGACTTTGACTTGAGATCCAATGACTTGAGACTTGACTTGACTTGAACTGTATGACTCGAGAATGACTTGATATACATTTTTATATAAATCATCGCAACATCCATTGATAAACAAAATGAAAGCAACGGAACCATTGACGTCATCAGATTCTGCGCGATTGCGTGACGCTGCACAAGTCCAGAAATAGCCTACATCGCGGTGAGCGCGCTAAATACAAAAACATCTCCCTGCATCGTATCTTTTTGGATATAAACACTAGAAAATGACCATATTCATGCAAGAAGATTTTTTGTACGCATAATAACTGGCAAGGGATATCGGACGACCATCACAACCTCGAACAGTCGAACTTCATTCACCACGTCTAAAAGTAAGCTATGGCTTGTTTAACCTGTTTGTTATAGTTAATTTGACTATCTTTAAATCTAGAGAGATTAATATTGGTCAAAACAGCATGCCTCTTTATACACAATTATGTTTTCAAATGTAGCTTAATGTTGTCAATATTCAAATGATAATTAATGACGGTATATGTTTTGTATAACATTTGCCACATTTCTTTTTAAATCATGCTTTAAAGCCAAAAATGTTGTTCTTTCCAATGACGAAAAACAATATAGAAAACTGTTAGTTTTGTCGTTTATGTTTCTCTTAATGTTATCAGGGTTTGGTGGCAAAAAATGCCAGCAGAATTAATATACACCCAAAATTCAAAATGTGGTGAAAAAATGGCCCTAGTATGGCCCTGGCCAACTCCTCCTTTAACTCGTGGCTGGAGCAAAACTTTTGTATGGGTCTTTGGGCAGCAGTAAAGGACTAGGTCTCCCCGTCGGGGAATCGAACCCCGGTCTTCCACGTGACAGGCGGAGATACTGTCCACTATACTAACGAGGAGTAACAGTGAAAGGTAGTCGCCCCCGATCAGCGCCCCCCCGACCAGGAACGGCCTCATGCATCATTTTAGGTCATCGCTTCACAGAAGCCAGTGAAGCCAAAAAAATCATCTAATACCATTTAAATATGAAGTGTCTGTGTAAAACGGGTTACGTTATTAAATTAGAGAGCTTGCTTTTTTAATAAAGAGCCTGGTAGGTCCGGTCAAAAAGTTCATGCGTATTTTTTCCAGTGCCGGGCCCAAACAAAGAGAGTTTCGGTTCCTGCCAGCTGCTAATGTGTTGCCAGCATTCTTGCTGACCGCACAAGGCGGCATCCAGTCTATGCCCAACCGCCTGCGTTGGTGGTATAGTGGTGAGCATAGCTGCCTTCCACGCGGGGGCCAGGCATGTATACCTGTAGATCGGTGACTAGCCAATCAGAAGCGAGAAAAATTTGAGGGCGTGTTCCAGGTTTTATCAATATTATTCCTCACTGAAACTTCGCTTCGAATCCCAGCTGAGGTGAAAATGAAGATGTTATTTATACCTTTTGACACATTCACTAATTCATATATTTAATGGAGTATGAATCAGTAATCACTTTACTTTTGTTTTCTAATATGAAACTTGCTTCTGAAGGATACTTATTTTACTGATAAATTAATTGGTGCACTGTGATATATTACCTATTGGGCTTGCCCAAAATAACAGTCCTTATTTTACTGATAAATTAATTGGTGCAATGTGATATATACTGTAACTTATTGTGCTTGTCCAAAATAACAGTCAAGGATTTAGGGACATTTTCAGTTAAATTATGTTTTAATAAAAAATAAACATCCAAAAGAATAAAAGTATACCTTTATAAAATATACAATTATAAAATAATACCTTTTTCATTTTAAAAGACTAATTATACCACAACACTATGTACAGTACATGTTAAGTACACAATAATGTGAACCAAGGCAATTGGATTGAATGAACCAATAAAAAAAAAATGGGAATATCTCAACATGACCAAAAGAATTAATCAATCTATGAAATCAAGTGACAGTTTAAAAACACCTACTGAACAAAGGTCTATGGAAGAATAAAAAAGAAACAGGCTGAAACAGGCTACACAGTACTTTTTCAGTTAAACAAAGTTCCTACTGCCCATGTGCATGTATACAGTACAGTTATAAATATGATTGTGCCAAAAGTAACAAACTAATAAAAAGTAAGAACAATATAACAACATGCTTAAGAAATATTATATGCAAAAAAAATCTTACAGGTGAGATGCAAAGTATTTACAATTACAAAAGATTAATAGTGCTTTCCATCATCCAAATAATCATAGAGTTTTGAACGAATTGTAAAAACATTTTAACTGATAAATTATGCATATAACAGTAAATGTTGCAGACTTTTTTAACATTTTACAATCATGCATGGACCCACATGGCATTCTAAAGTAAAAAAAAACAAAAACCAGAAAGACAAATAAGGCAAGAACAAACCACAGTGGTTTCAGCATGTAAAAGATATCCATAACAAGATACAGAGTTATTTTTTTACGATACAATAATTACAATGTACACATTCAAAACCAGGAAACATGAGGGCAGTCACTTTCCCTTTTCTGCTACCCATCTCTTCCTTTCTGCCTCATAAAAGGAAGATTGACAGAACTCTCCCCAAGTCATCTCGTGAGTCATCCCCTCTGTCCGATATAGGGAAAACACTTTGGCAGGACAATATACATATTTCCCTGCCACACCAGGGAACCCAGTATGTGTATGTGGACTATCTGGGCCTTGTTTGAGGGGCTTGTGGCAGAACCTACAGAGGCGACCAGTGGGATGCTGCTCCATGGCCTTTCTCTTTCCCCGCTCCTCCATTACCTGTCTTGCCTCTGCAGAGCGCTGCTTTGCGGCCTGTAGCTCTTGATTAAAAAAAGGTGTTTCAGCAAAGTCAGCAAACGGCATTCGAGGATTGGTGAGGCCTTCCGCTGCATACATCTGGTATACCTTTGTAGAGCAGTAAAAGTACTTCACGCTCCCAGACTGATAAAAAAAATGAATGGAGGATCCATCACCAAGGTAACGTGACTTTGGCTGGCCACATGCAAGACAGTTCCGTGTCCTCTTTATAACAGGCTGTTGCTGTTGCTGCTGCTTCTCCACAATCTCTTTGGATCCCTGGAGGCAGCCTGCACAAGGGCAGCATACTCCGCATCCACCTGGGTGAGAAGGTCTTTCTGCCCATGGTACTTTGCCAGAAGGCCATCAATGGAATCCCTCATGGGCTGTGTCCACCGAAAATGGTCCAGGACAAAAAGTAGACCCCCTGCCTTGATAGAACCTGTGCGAGCAGCTCGTGGAGAGGGAGCAAAGGGCAGTGGTGGCGTCATCTCATCTAAAAGAGAGGAAAAGGGACAGGAAAATTAAATAATTTTCCCTTTTATCTCTGAAATATCTGTAGTATTCATATAAATAATGAATAATTAAGGGATGACGATGTGAGCTGAATCACCTTTTACATTGGTGGGCTGTGCAGGCTGGATCATTGTTTGTGAGCCAGGAGAAGCCACACCAAAGATGTCATCCTGGAGCATAGGGTAATTAATTTAGGTTACAATCAGTAATTACATAGTTAGATTTTGTATTTTAGTGATTGGGGATATTTGTAAGTACAACAGTCAAGTTTACCTGAGCAAAGTGTTCCTCCCTCACCTCCTCAGGTGTGTCATCAGGTGGGAAGATCTCACTGAGAGCAGACGGCTGTGAGGACTGATGCTCTCCCTCCCCTGCAACAGGTACCTTCTGGGACTTGTGCTTGTCCCAGTCTAGGGGGACAGGACGACAACCAGGCTCCACATACTGCAGTCCAAACCTTTCTCTGGTGTCTGTCTGTGAGACAAGTAAGGCAGGGTACTTGGCCTGGCCTGTCACCACGTCTGAGAGCTTGTTCAGTTCCATGATCAGCACAGGATCAAAGACTGCAGGCAGCTTCACTCCAGGCTGCTTCAGGTCCACAAGGCGCTGGAAATTCCAGCGAGCCACTCCAATCATGCCCTGCGCCTGGAAAAGTTCTGTGGATACCTGAGTGCCTGTGACCCATCTCGCCTGATGGAAATGGAACCCCTCCTGCTGAGAGGTGCCTCTCACAGGGATCCACACGGGTACAGCTGCCGCCTCCCCCTTCACATGGTTCAGCTGGACCGTTCCACCATGCCTATAGAGGATCCCCTCTTCAATCTCTGGGTCACTGAGGCAGCCTCTGAGGATGTGGACTCGCTGAATCCTCCACACCTTCAACATCGATGGTTTGAACAGTGGCCCACCATCAGGATCGCATTCTAAAAAGAATCTTTGGAGAACGCTCTCCACTCTCTCCAGCAGCTCTTTGGGGTGTGGGACCCTAGTGCGACAGTGCTCCCTGATGTGCTTCTTTGTTGGATTTGCAGGCACTATTCCACAGAAGACATAAGCCTGCTTCAGTCTCTGTAGGTCCGTCTGGTCCACAACACTAAAAGCTGCTGACAGAAACTTGCAGAAAGCACTGTGCAGTGGATGGTGCTCTGAAGTACACTCTCTGGAGAATCGCCGCATGCAGTGGAATAAGTCCAGCTTGATGTTGATGTTGCTATTATATTCTTTGCGGGAGGCACAGGTGTTGATGAGATGCCCAGAGGTAGCCGCAGTCACTATAGCCTCAGTGGTCTTCCAAGAATCCCAGAGGAGGTGCTCCTGGGGATCAGGGTTTGGGATCCTGAAGGCAGCACAGCAATCTCTGTTCCACACACAAAGAGAAGTATATTTAAAATATTAAACATTCAAATAAATAGGATACATGTATTTGCTATACTATATTTTGTTTACTTTACAAATATAATATACTGTAGGTGGGAAGGAAAATGTGATGGCTGGTTCTTACCTGTCAACCCACTGGTAGTTGGCTTTTGGCAGTCCTGCAAAAATGTAACGACGGGACAGCCCCTCATACATTGGCTGCAGGGATTTATCACTTTCAGACTGCAGCATCACCCAGGACAAGATCATCCAGTTTTCATTCATCACAGCGTATGACGACATAGTACCGGATGCAAGCACAACCTTCCGGGCCACCTTGCGGGTATGGTCAGCCCTTAATACCTGTCCAAATGTGCCTTGAAGGAGCAGATTGAGTGTGCTCTCCTGCCTATGGTACTCCTGAATGAGGCAGTCAACCAAGTAGTGGGGTGAGACTGTTACTCCAAACCAGCCGTCCACATCACCATACCCACCAAATGGAGCAGGAGTATTTGTTGCTCTTAGTGCCCCTGTGATGGTCTGCTGACCATAAAGTCCACTGTCTCCATCCAGCACATTCTTAACAGTGGACAGGTAAGCCAGGTGTGCACGCTCATACCTGAGGTGGAGAGCTTCGTTCAACTGATTGGCCATATCATTGGGAGACTTTGCTGTGCGCCGCAACTCATCCATCACAGTCTTACATATGGCCTTCTTGTGCGTCAGAAAAGCTGGAAAAATGTTGCAGAATCGACTTGGCAGCATCTCTATCCATTGGGGTTTGTCTGCAAACCAGTACTTTTTACAGACTTTACAGCTGAGCCGAGAGGCCAGCATGTAGTACTGGCTGCTTGTACCAATAATGACACGGGGTCGTCCAACTCCTGATGAGACAACTTGAGGATTCGGACAGCCGTTCAGACATGGCAGAGTGTAGTTGTTGCGGACTCTTTCCATAATGGTGTGCTCTGGTTTCCAAATGAAGAATGGATGAAGTTGAAAGTATTTTGGTGATGGCAGCTTATAGACAGCATCAATAAGCTCAGGCTGAGGTGGGTAACGCCACAAGGAGATCATGTTCATTGGATGTCTCACCAGTCTAGAGCCTGGCCACAGTCCCAAGTTTTCCATTTCTGTTTTCATCCAGATTCTCTGCTGGTGAGAGCAGTTCCATTGGCTTACATCCTGCTCATAGCCTGGCAGTGGTGGAAGTGCTGGCTTCTCCTCCAACTGAGTTGAGGGGTACCCAGCAGAGGCTGCAGGGAGTGCTGTGGGCGGAGTAGAGGCTGCAAGGAGTCTCGACTGGACAGCAGCTGCAGGGGGGCCTGAGGGAGGAGTAGAGACTGTAGACTGTGCAGAGGTCACTGGGAGGAGGGCTGCAGGACAACATGGTTGACATTAGTCATAGATGAGCATTACATTTGTTAAATAGGTTAAATCTGTTTTAAATTGTATTAAGTAATATTATGTTACATTAAGTCCTTACACTGACAGAGCATGGTTTCCTGCACTGGTCTCAAAGGCGATGTGGACTTGCTTGTCGATAACCCCAATTCAAGCAACTCTGGAGGTACTGGCAAAAGAACCCTCACTGGAGTGAATGGAATTGGTGAAAAACAATAACACTGATCAGAAACAGGCATATCCTTACAGTAGAGTCGGCATGTGTACACGTCCATATACTAACCTGGATGTGGAGATGCAGTAGCACTATATTCATCAGGCCGGACTGGTTTTAGGAGTGTTGCTGGTGGTTTACGCCTCCCTAACACAGAAAAATGTAATGTCATTCTAAATACCCTGTAGTACTGTCCCTTAATAAATGTGTTATTACGTAGTAATGTAAATGCATGCAAACCCATAAAACACATGTCAAGACTCTTTATAATATTAAAGGTGTGGTATGTTAATGCATTACCATTACATGAGTACTACATTGCATGAGTACTCTACAGCTTCATGTATCAAAACGGATGCATCATTCTAGTCCAAATTAATACATATTTGTACTTTTGCTGTACTTCTGCATTTTGGTACATACCAAACCTTTAAAGTATAGCATGCAAAAAAACATGCAAAACAAGAACTCTGTACTTACCCTCAATGATGAGATATAAATGCCTTATAAATGTTAGTAGAACAATTGAACACAAGAATTAGAACAGGCCTGAACGTGGCCTAACCAACAAACAGCAACAAATCAATGTAGAACAGATAATCCTGATTCATGTCAGAATCATCCCTAGCATGCAGTAGACAAGACCTTTGACCACTGGGACTCCAACAACTTCTGAACCTGAAAGCATAGTAAAGATAATTTAACTTTCAAGCAATTACAACATAAACAGACACAATGACATATAAAACCCTTTACTGTTAAAGTACAGTACACACCAAACTACACAAAGATGTGAAAAATGTAAAACACTGCTACGTGTCTTTTGCTTGTTCAGTATACAGTGGTGTGTACAGGAGTCACACGTACATGTATGTGCACAAATACACTGTATATACAGTATATATGCACAATTGATCTGAATCTTGAATTGAGTTGAAACTGAATCAACACTGAAGTGACTTGAGCTGAATAATGTCGCAATTGGCTTGTTAGAGCTGCTTTACAGCATCATTTGTTTTGAATTTGTTACTATTGTGAAGCTGCTGCGAAAATCTATACTGTAGCTTGTATGTATATTCAGTATACAGTTTACACACATTGAATATGCATACAAGCCAAGTCAGAAAGTCAACTTTATTTCTAAAGCACTGTATGTGTGTGTGTGTGTGTGTGTGTGTGTGTTTGTGTGTGCATATATAAGTATTACATATGTATGTAAAAGTTTGTTTTTCAATTGCGTGTAATGCGTATAAGCGTATAATGTGCTTGCAGTTTTGCAGACTTGGTCTGAAGATTAGGTACATGACTGAATGGTTTTACTGAGTGGGCCTCAAGTTCCACCTTTAGTGTGTAATCAATTTGAAAAAACTGTAGTATAATAATTTACGGGCATTAGAACAGGCCTGATCACGCCTAATAAACAAACAGTGATTTGACAGTGTGTTGGATGGATAATCCTGATTGAAGTCAGAATCATCCCCAGTGTGCATTCAGAATAGGACCTTTGGCCATAGGGACTCCAACATCTCGTGAACCTGAGTGCACAGCGCAGAAACAATGTAACATCCCAAACATTTACCATCTTGAATAACGCTGAATAAAAATGTAATGATGTTTCATGGAAATGAATGCAGTTTGATAGAGCATGTATGTGCATGTATGTGGTTCTCACTCAGTTGGCCTGGAATTTTAGATGAAAGAGTGGGTAGCATCATCCTCCCCAATTCTTCACCTTCCTCCACTTCTATGGAAAAAGAACAAACCAAGGATTGGTATGAAAGGATGGAATTATAAATATCATCAACTGTTGTTTATTCAGGGAAAATTGACTGAGCATTAAGCTCTTTTACAGCAGTACCCCGACTCCACATTCATACGAGTGTACATTCAGAATATGATATCAAAAATATGTATATAGCAGTCACAATAAATACTGTGTGTGTGTGTGTGTGTGTGCGTGTGAGCACACATGCACCTACACTACCGGTCAAAAGTTTTGGAAACAGTTGTGTACATTTTTTTTCAGGATTCTTTGATGAATAGAAAGTTTAAAAGAACAGCTTTAATTTGAAATAGAAACTTTTGTGACATTATAAATGCCTTTACTGTAACTTTTGATCAATTTAATTCATCCTTCATGAATAAAAGTATTTATTTATTGTATTTCTTTCCCCCAAAAAATAACTAACAATTCTTACTGACCCCAAACTTTTGAACGGTAGTGTTTAATGTGACAAAAGCTTTCTATTTCAGATAAATACTGTTCTTTTGAACTTTCTATTCTTCAAAGAATCCTGAAATAAAAATGTAAATAACTATTTGTTCTACTGTAATACTGTAACAATAATACTATTGTTGACAATGATAATAATGAGAAATGTTTCTTGAGCATCAAATCATCAGAATCATGTGACACTGTAGACTGGAGTAATGATGCTGAAAAACCCAGCTTTGATCACAGGAATAAATTACACTCTACAATATATACACATAGAAAACTGCTATTTTGAATTCTAATAATATTTCACAATTTTGACTGTTTTTTTTAATCAAATAAATACAGCCTTGGTGAGTAGAACAGACTTAGTAGAACAAATCTTACTGATCCAAAAAATTGTCTGTGTGAGGTTTTCTTACTCAGTTGGGCTTGGAGTTTGGATGGGGATATAGAAAGCATCATTCTCTCCAATTCTTCATCATCCTCCATTTCTGTAAAACAAAGCATAAAAGCAAAGATGCGAATCATATGTCATCCCACATTTACATATATTTTAACATGACCTTATATGTACTGTCAACAAACCTGGAGGATGAGAGGCAGATGCTGTAAGGCCAGCGGAAGCAGGTTCCGCTGAAACACTCTGAAGCTGGCTCTTTTTCTGAGTGAGGTACAGCTGCAGCCGATACATTTTGCTGCCTGGGACACACTGTTTCTGGAGGATGAATGCAGCATATCCATCTGCTCTGCTCTCCCAAACATCCCTCCAAGTCTTTTCTGCATTAATTCCAAAGCCAACCAAGTTGTCATCTTCATTCTTCACAGGTGGTGCCACTGATCTTCCAGTTAAATACTTTAGGAGGTCCTCGATTTCCTGGAAGCTATTACTGTACTCAAGAAATGAAAGTAGGCTGTCCTTCTTGGGACCCTCTGGTTTAAACTGTCCGGCTCTCTCCTCCTCCTCAACCTTCTTAGTCAAGAATATGGTATAGCCTACATCATTCTCTAGTAGCCACCGGAATGACTTGCCTTTGTACTTTCCAAACTGAAGCACATACTCTCCCAGCACCTCTTTTCTGTCTGACACATCTCCTCCTCTCATGAAGACAACAGAGCGGGCATTCTCCTTTACCTTGTCTTCCCTTTGAGGGTCTGATTTGTCCTGGAGATTGGGGTTGTCTTTGATCCTCTTGGCTTCATCTGAGGGATCTTGTCTCAGATATCCAGTCGGTCCTTTCCTGAAGCACACTTTGATCTTGCCTGGGAAGATCACTTTCACCTTCATCCTGCTGTGCTGTACATATACATTCACAAAGAGCTGATTAGTGTTTATGGTCTGTTGCATTAACACACTTAATTAATTAACACACTTCTATTCTGATTTAAATTATCTTATTTCTTAATAAATAAAACAACAATTCAATGAACCATTTTATTATGAAATACAAATTCATATTAATTGCACAATATCCTCTTTGACACTATTATTGTGTTTATTGATCTATTTTATCATAATAAAATGTTATTCATATAATATATCATTAAATTGCACATTTTTTTTTGTAATTTAAATGTAATATATTTGTGTGTACTATATATTACATTAAAAGTACTACATCACACTGCACTGTTATCATATATATTTTAAACATTTTATTTGAGTCCATAGTAAGAAATCAATGATGAAACATTCACCTTTACAAACAAAGATACTCTTATAAAATAACAGCTGTATTTAACGTTACAACGAGGAGTTTGGTTTACTGGGTTTCTTAACGTCACAAACAATTCAACACAATTAACAATACGATAACATGATAATATACATGCAATTTAAACGATAAAATATATGAATAATAATGTATATGCGGTCACCTGAGGTAAAATCCGTCTGAAGGTAACGTTAGTGTAGAATGTAAATATTTGTTGTAAAAAAACAAAACAATTTGCTGACAATTCGGTAAAATCTGTCTGAAGGTAATTTAGACTGTAAATATTTGTTGAAAAAACCCAAAACAATTTGCTGACAATTCGGTAAACAAATATCTCCGATCGTAAAACGGGTCTCCCCTCCTCCACTGCGAATGATTGACAGATGACACTACGCTTCTTAAATTCCCCGCCACGGAAAAACGAAACAGCGCCATGAAGTCTAAGTGTGGCCAAAAGTATATTGCATCCGTAGTGTTAAGCACTACCATAGAGAATGAATGGGAAAAGTTAAGAGAAGTTAAGCTTAGCCATTTTCGGCTCCCGCGCAGTTGACCCGGGTTCGATTCCCGGCCAACGCATTGCCTTTTGCTCAAGCCGTCGTTAAAACAGTCGTCCGGGGCCCCTGGCCAACTCCTCATTTAACTCGTGGCTGGAGCAAAACTTTTGCATGGGTCTTTGGGCAGCAGTAAAAGGACTAAGTCTCCCCGTCGGGGAATCGAACCCCGGTCTTCCGCGTGCAGGCGGAGATACTGTCCACTATACTAACGAGGAGTTGCAGAGATAGGTAGTCGCCCCCGATCAGCGCCCCCCGACCAGGAAAGGCCTCATGCGTCATTTTAGGTCATCGCTTCACAGAAGCCAGTTAAGCCAAACAAATCATCTAATACCATTTAAATATGAAGTGTCTGTGTAAAACGGGTTAAGTTATTAAATTAGAGAGCTAGCTTTTTTAATAAAGAGCCTGGTAGGTCAGGTCAAAAAGTTAATGCGTTTTTTTCCAGTGCCGGGCCCAAACAAAGAGAGTTTCGGGTCCTGCCAGCTGCTAATGTGTTGCCAGCATTCTTGCTGACCGCACAAGGCGGCATCCAGTCTATGCCCGACCATCTGCGTTGGTGGTATAGTGGTGAGCATAGCTGCCTTCCAAGCAGTTGACCCGGGTTCGATTCCCGGCCAACGCATTGCCTTTTGCTCAAGCTGTCGTTAAAACAGTCGTCCGGGGCCCCTGGCCAACTCCTCATTTAACTCGTGGCTGGAGCAAAACTTTTGCATGGGTCTTTGGGCAGCAGTAAAGGCAGAGATGGGGGACTCGAGTCACATGACTTGACTCGAGTCAGACTCGAGTCGCAAATTTAAGGACTTGAGACTTGCTTGACTAAATTAAAAAAATGACTCGACTTGACTTTGACTTGAGATCCAATGACTTGAGACTTGACTTGACTTGAACTGTATGACTCGAGAATGACTTGATATACATTTTTATATAAATCATCGCAACATCCATTGATAAACAAAATGAAAGCAACGGAACCATTGACGTCATCAGATTCTGCGCGATTGCGTGACGCTGCACAAGTCCAGAAATAGCCTACATCGCGGTGAGCGCGCTAAATACAAAAACATCTCCCTGCATCGTATCTTTTTGGATATAAACACTAGAAAATGACCATATTCATGCAAGAAGATTTTTTGTACGCATAATAACTGGCAAGGGATATCGGACGACCATCACAACCTCGAACAGTCGAACTTCATTCACCACGTCTAAAAGTAAGCTATGGCTTGTTTAACCTGTTTGTTATAGTTAATTTGACTATCTTTAAATCTAGAGAGATTAATATTGGTCAAAACAGCATGCCTCTTTATACACAATTATGTTTTCAAATGTAGCTTAATGTTGTCAATATTCAAATGATAATTAATGACGGTATATGTTTTGTATAACATTTGCCACATTTCTTTTTAAATCATGCTTTAAAGCCAAAAATGTTGTTCTTTCCAATGACGAAAAACAATATAGAAAACTGTCGTTTGTTTTGTCGTTTATGTTTCTCTTAATGTTATCAGGGTTTGGTGGCAAAAAATGCCAACAGAATTAATATACACCCAAAATTCAAAATGTGGTGAAAAAATGGCCCTAGTATGGCCCTGGCCAACTCCTCCTTTAACTCGTGGCTGGAGCAAAACTTTTGCATGGGTCTTTGGGCAGCAGTAAAGGACTAGGTCTCCCCGTCGGGGAATCGAACCCCGGTCTTCCGCGTGACAGGCGGAGATACTGTCCACTATACTAACGAGGAGTTGCAGAGATAGGTAGTCGCCCCGGATCAGCGCCCCCCCGACCAGGAACGGCCTCATGCGTCATTTTAGGTCATCGCTTCACAGAAGCCAGTGAAGCCAAACAAATCATCTAATACCATTTAAATATGAAGTGTCTGTGTAAAACGGGTTACGTTATTAAATTAGAGAGCTTGCTTTTTTAATAAAGAGCCTGGTAGGTCCGGTCAAAAAGTTCATGCGTTTTTTTCCAGTGCCGGGCCCAAACAAAGAGAGTTTCGGTTCCTGCCAGCTGCTAATGTGTTGCCAGCATTCTTGCTGACCACACAAGGCGGCATCCAGTCTATGCCCAACCGCCTGCGTTGGTGGTATAGTGGTGAGCATAGCTGCCTTCCAAGCAGTTGACCCGGGTTCGATTCCCGGCCAACGCATTGCCTTTTGCTCAAGCTGTCGTTAAAACAGTCGTCCGGGGCCCCTGGCCATCTCCTCATTTAACTCGTGGCTGGAGCAAAACTTTTGCATGGGTCTTTGGACAGCAGTAAAGGACTAGGTCTCCCCGTCGGGGAATCGAACCCCGGTCTTCCGCGTGACAGGCGGAGATACTGTCCACTATACTAACGAGGAGTTGCAGAGATAGGTAGTCGCCCCCGATCAGCGCCCCCCCCGACCAGGAACGGCCTCATGCGTCATTTTAGGTCATCGCTTCACAGAAGCCAGTGAAGCCAAACAAATCATCTAATACCATTTAAATATGAAGTGTCTGTGTAAAACGGGTTACGTTATTAAATTAGAGAGCTTGCTTTTTTAATAAAGAGCCTGGTAGGTCCGGTCAAAAAGTTCATGCGTTTTTTTCCAGTGCCGGGCCCAAACAAAGAGAGTTTCGGTTCCTGCCAGCTGCTAATGTGTTGCCAGCATTCTTGCTGACTGCACAAGGCGGCATCCAGTCTATACCCAACCGCCTGTGTTGGTGGTATAGTGGTGAGCATAGCTGCCTTCCAAGCAGTTGACCCGGGTTTGATTCCCGGCCAACGCATTGCCTTTTGCTCAAGCTGTCGTTAAAACAGTCGTCCGGGGCCCCTGGCCAACTCCTCATTTAACTCGTGGCTGGAGCAAAACTTTTGCATGGGTCTTTGGGCAGCAGTAAAGGACTAGGTCTCCCCGTCGGGGAATCGAACCCCGGTCTTCCGCGTGACAGGCGGAGATACTGTCCACTATACTAACGAGGAGTTGCAGAGACAGGTAGTCGCCCCCGATCAGCGCCCCCCGACCAGGAAAGGCCTCATGCGTCATTTTAGGTCATCGCTTCACAGAAGCCAGTTAAGCCAAACAAATCATCTAATACCATTTAAATATGAAGTGTCTGTGTAAAACGGGTTAAGTTATTAAATTAGAGAGCTTGCTTTTTTAATAAAGAGCCTGCTAGGTCAGGTCAAAAAGTGAATGCGTTTTTTTCCAGTGCCGGGCCCAAACAAAGAGAGTTTCGGGTCCTGCCAGCTGCTAATGTGTTGCGAGCATTCTTGCTGACCGCACAAGGCGGCATCCAGTCTATGCCCGACCATCTGCGTTGGTGGTATAGTGGTGAGCATAGCTGCCTTCCAAGCAGTTGACCTGGTTTTGATTCCCGGCCAACGGATTGCCTTTTGCTCAAGCTGTCGTTAAAACAGTCGTCGGGGGCCCCTGGCCAACTCCTCATTTAACTCGTGGCTGGAGCAAAACTTTTGCATGGGTCTTTGGGCAGCAGTAAAGGACTAGGTCTCCCCGTTGGGGAATCGAACCCCGGTCTTCCGCGTGACAGGCGGAGATACTGTCCACTATACTAACGAGGAGTTGCAGAGACAGGTAGTCGCCCTCGATCAGCCCCCCCCCCCGACCAGGAACGGCCTCATGCGTCATTTTAGGTCATCGCTTCACAGAAGCCAGTGAAGCCAAACAAATCATCTAATACCATTTAAATATGAAGTGTCTGTGTAAAACGGGTTACGTTATTAAATTAGAGAGCTTGCTTTTTTAATAAAGAGCCTGGTAGGTCCGGTCAAAAAGTTCATGCGTTTTTTTCCAGTGCCGGGCCCAAACAAAGAGAGTTTCGGTTCCTGCCAGCTACTAATGTGTTGCCAGCATTCTTGCTGACCGCACAACCCGGCATCCAGTCTATGCCCAACCGCCTGTGTTGGTGGTATAGTGGTGAGCATAGCTGCCTTCCAAGCAGTTGACCCGGGTTCGATTCCCGGCCAACGCATCGCCTTTTGCTCAAGCTGTCGTTAAAACAGTCGTCCGGGGCCCCTGGCCAACTCCTCATTTAACTCGTGGCTG